AAAAAAAATCTATATCAACAAAAGTAGGACATTCACCCCGCAACGTTCTGAGAATGTTTAGGGGACAAAACGCTGTTCTTCTATAGAACCTTCCCACAACGTTCTTTGATGGCGGGAAAGAAGTTCTCAATGCAGCGTTTTAGGAACAGTCTAACAATGTTGTCAGCAAACCTTTTTAGAACATATCTAACGAATGCTGTTCCGTCTTTAAGAAGAACGTTCTGGATACTAAACGAAAACCGCTCGCCGAAGACGTTGCTGGAACACAGCAAAATGTTCTCAGAGCGTTTCGAGGATGTACCTAAAAATGTTCTTGTGAGGTTGAAAGTAAGAACGATTTAACATTCAGAGGCTGTTTTGAGGATGTTGTCCGATTGTGACAACGGAGGAGGAACGTTCTTAAAGCAACATCTCAGATGTTCTGGAGGCCTCAGATGACTTCTTTATAAAACGTTCCAGGAACCAAAGTGGAACATTCAGCCTGCAGCTCTTCTGATAAACCGTCCCACAGTTTTACATGATGACAGCTCAACATGTGGAGTCAGACGGGGCATGAACGTCCAACAACGTTCTCGTTAGGTTGTCTTTAGAGAACGTTATCCTGCCTTCAAGAAGAACATAAGGAGAATATTTGAAAAACATCATCACTAGAACTTTGCAGAACTTTCTCAGGATGTTTTTTTCTTTCCAACCTGATCTGTTCATGAGTTGTGATAGTTTCTGACGTTTGTACTCACGATGCCGTTCTGGACGCTGAAGCCCAGCTGGTACTTCAGATCCGGTCTCTTGATGAGGACCGTGGTGACAGGAGGGCAGCTGACGATGTTCATCTTCACCTGGACTTGGTTCTTTAAGCCCTTCAGTACAGAAATAGAAACACAGAGATGTTCCAGTAATGTTCTGGTTGACAACCTTCCAGCCACACACTGGTGCTGGTCCTCGGCGTCTCCGTACCTTAATGATTCCCTGACAGGTGGCGAGCGGCAGCCCCACGAGGCTGGTGTTGTTGATGGACATGATCTGGTCTCCGATGCTCAGCTTGCCAGAGCGAGCTGCCGGCCCGCCGTTCATCATGTTGGCTAAGATGACCGTGGGGAGGATGGAGCCCCAGCCGGACTCCACGATCACCACGCCCAGGATCTCGCCTTTGCTCTTCTCCAGCTGCAGCTGTGGAGGAGGCGGGAGGTTTAGCTTCATCAGGAACACAAACAACTAAAACCGTATCACACACTGAGAATATAAAAACCTTTCATCATCGTCTCATTACCAGTGCTTTATTTATTTTTTAATTTGATGAAAACTGTCAAAAGCGTTCGTCTGTTTGCTGCCTTCTTTCAGTCGCTGATCCAAACCGCTGCAGATTCAGCTACAAATTGCTGGAGAACGCGTTAAGAACTCATTATCACTTAAAACAATATGATTTCTTTCTGAAATCTTTTATTCTCGCTCACTTTCATACATCAGAGCTGGAGTCGGCCCCGGAGCTCAGAGGAAGCATCACCACACATACAGAAACAATCAGCAGGCAGAGATCTGGCAGCGCCGCTCATATGGAGGTAGATGAACATCTGAGGTTGCATTAGACGGTTGCAGGCGGTGCTGCAGATCACCGAGGGCCACAGCTTCAGTGCTCTATTGGTTTTACAATTGGATGTGTGCTAAGAAATGCCTTCATCTGTTACGATCGCTTGATAAGCCGACATTAAATTAAACGTGGTTCATCTCCAAATGGATTCTCTCTGGAACTTCTCATCCTTCAACCTAAATAACACAAATCAGAGACGAGGGAGAGCTTAAAATATCCGACACCTGGGCAGAAACATGTTGAGAGAACGTCCTGAAACTGGAGAAGCTGATGATGAGATATTGCAACGTGTCGCCCGACTGCCTCAGACAGATGTTACTACAACAAACCGCACGCAGACGTTTTGGACATTTAACCCGAAGTTCAGACCGTAATGGGAGGATGTGTTTAACGCCCTCAAAGAGATGTTCCACCATAATGTTCCCAGAGGTCCTGAGAGTCGAGGAGTTCCTAAGAGCTGCCATCGAGTGTATTTTAAACAGATGATTGAAACACGGGGCTGCAGGTGGATCAGTGGTTAGCATCGTTAGCACCTCGCAGCTAGAAGGTCGCCGGTTGGCGTCCTGGTGAGGACACCCGGGATCTTCCTGCGTGGAGTCTCCATGTTCTCCCCGTGCAGCGTGGGTTCTCTCCGGGTTCTCCGGCTTCCTCCCACAGTCCAGAAACATGCTGAGGTTAATTGGTGATTGTAAATTGTCCGTAGGTGTGAATGTGAGTGTGCTTGGTTGTCTGTCTCTAAGTGTAGCCCTGTGATAGGCTGGTTACCTGTCCAGGTGAACCTGCCTTTGCCCTGAGTTGGATAGGGTAGCCTCCAGCCTCCAGCTTGAATAAATGCACTCATTCTGACTCGTACTAACACTGTAAGCAGTTTCTGGGTGTTTTTTTTTACTCACTGTGGGTTTATGTTTTCACTGCATGGAAACAGAAACCATGGCTACAAGCAGAGAGAACTTAAAAAGTCTTCTGCACTGTAGTTATAATGCCATAGTCACAAAAAAGGAAAGTTTATTTGTATGTGTTTTGCAAAAACTGGAAAAAAAATAATCAAATAAAAAAAGGACTCTGCATGCAGCTCTTCAGGTGTTTTACTGCTTCAGTCTGGTTCCTGCCTGCATTCAGCCCAGTTCAGCTGAAAAGCCTCCGAGTGTCTGACTGTCAGTTACACATGAGCAGAATCTGGTTCCTGCAAACAGCTTATTTTCTCCTTTTTTCTAAAATAATGCATGCTTGACTAAATGACAGTTTTAAGTCTATATCTGGTTCATGCTGCCTCCTCTTTGTTAGTCATAGATTTGATGAAGCTGTGATGCACACATGCACATTTTCAACAATAACAAGAATAATGTGCAAATGAAACGATACCGCCTTGTTTCAGATGCTGAGGTCAAATAAAATACGTTAACAAGAATCATTTACTCTGTGATGATATTCATCAGTATCACAGTTAATTTCTATTTCTGGGACAGATCCATACTGCTAACCGCCGTCACAGGAACTCATGAACTGCACATAACTGGTTTGATTTCCCCTGATTGTCTCAAACGGGGACACCGTATGAAAACCCCTCGTGTCACAAATCATTAGTGAAGGTTTGCTTTTTGCTGGAGCTTCAAGGAGAGCGTGGAGAACGCAGCAGAGTTCCTGCTGAAGCTCTGGATGCATGTTAGCGTCCAGCATTCAGGCAGATGTGTAGATCCGTGTGTGGACTGCACGCTGCAGAGCTCTTGGTTTAGAGAAGTGATTATGATCAGTGCTCACTACTGTATGATACTAATACATCAGGCTGCTTGTCTCATTATTTCTGCAGCGTTTCACACCGCCACCGGTGGTATCTTAGTGGGACAGCGTTAACCACTTTGCCACAATCAGGCCAAACTGTGCAGCAAGCCACAATAAAACCTGGTTAAATATGAGTTTAAAAACCCACAAATGACTGGTGATGTGTTCATTGCATCAGTACTTTACCGTACAGGCCCTCACAGTTACAACTATTGTGCATATTTCATTACTGGCTTAATGCTGAATGTGTTCTCGTGTTCCAGTTCTGTTGACCAGCAGCTGCTACGAGCACACATGAAGCCTGGAGACATGGATTTATTCTTAGCTCAGTGCGGGAGGCTACAAAGCTTTAGTGCGTCGAGAAAGCCCAGGTTCCCCATCACTACAAATTACTGGTGTGCCTCTAACACAGCAGCTGTGTGGTGGTGCCGTGCAGCACCAGCGCTTCCACGGCTTCTAATTCTCCAAAAGCCTCCAGCAATGTTTTCAGGGCACAGTGTTAGCTAAAGAGGAAATGCTATAGCAGGAAAAAGCTGGAGTTGACATGCTCCGAGTAGGTTTTTACTGTACCATCTGCCTCTTAATCTGTCTAATTAGTTAGCAGCTACTGTAGTTGTGTGTTTGTGTGACGGCCCTGCAGCGTCCGCCTGATTCCTGCCACATGCACAAGTCTTCAGCTGTTTATATCTTGATTTTTTCCCGCACTGATACAAACAAACATCTGCAGAAGATGCATGCGTCTTTATCTCGGGGGGCATGTGCTGCACGCTCAGTGTGGACCGACCTCTTTGCAGTTTTCAGAGTTGGAGAAGTGAATGAGGTCGTCATTGTACATTTCCTGGGTGTTGATGATGTCGCTGTACTCCTTCTGACTCAGGTCCTCGGGGTTGATGCCGTTGGCTCTCAGGAACTCCTGGTAGGCCACGCTGAACGCCTGGCCGATGGACTGGGCGATGAGCTGAGCCTGCAGGCAGAACACGTGTAAACATGTGACCTTGTTGTGTTGGATCCACCAAAGCTAATCTTCACCGAAAAGCATATAAATAACACAGCCAGGAAGAAAAAAGCATCAAACAGTCGTAGCAGTGAGCGTGCCAAGGATACGTTAAGGCATAATATAAACTGATTGTCTCTGTCATGAGCTATTTGTTCCCGTTGAAAGAGGCAGAATAACAGCAGAGAGCAGAAAGGACAGGAACAGGTGCACCGTCCGGCTCCTTCAGTTCAGAGAAATGAAGCTTAATGACGACAATAGGCAGAAAAATTAAATCTTCACAAAGTAATCGTCCCTGACATGAGATGATCTGCACATAAGTTGTCTGCATTGATGCACTCATCAGCGCCAAGGAATCACTTTTCCATGTAGTTTGTCTGCTTGTGCTTTTCTGTTTAATTGAATTCTGTGCTCGCATGCAAATCTCTTGCAGAGTTTGCCGACATCAATGACCCACAATCCCCACTGTGAATTAGTTTTGCCCATCAACAAAGAAGTCAGCACACAGGAAGCCGCGCAGCCAGCCAGCGGAGCCACAATAACAGAAACAGTTTATAAGTTGATGGATGGGCGGCTGAATGGTTCCGTTATAACTCTGGCCGGCCTTTAAAACCTGGCAGCAGAATTAGATGAAGAGGGGACAGATTGGAGTCCAGCCTTTATACTGATTGGCACCGAGCTGCTGGCTCCTCAGCGCAACATTGTTCACGGTGCCAAGTCTCGCTGAATCTGCTTCAACAAGGCGAGCAGCAGCTCCGCGTGGTCGGAAAAAAACAACATCAAAATTAAAAGTGCCCGGCCAATTTACATCATTGCACATCAGTGGGTCGCTCTAATCGGTCATTGCACAACATTTCTGTAATTTCTATACATTACCGACCACATTTGGAACAATCTGGAGCAAACAGGACGGATCTGATTAGCAAATAAAACTATGTCCTGGCCTGGACTGAGGAAAAAGCTGAACATTGGTGCTAAGTGGGAAGCTGAAATAATATCCGACAATCACAAGTGTTATCTGTTCACTATCTGTAGATGCTGAAGGTTTATCTGCCAAATGAAAACCCGTACATCCTGACAGAACAGCACCGACGCAGCTTCCTGTCGTTCCCAGAAGCATCGCAGGTTTGACAATCTGAACACAAGCGATTTAAGAGCCACTTACGTCTTCAGACTCAAACACATGGCAGATCATCTTGTACTGCTTCTTGGCCTCGGGCGCCCCGGGCGTCGTCTCGATGCAGTCCTGTGAGGCTGTGCGTGGCATCCGGCGCCTCGCCATCAAGACCACGATGTTCCCAATGTCAGCGATGTAGGAGATAGTGCGGAGCGCGTTGTCCATCATCGTTTCCTGTCGACATAGCAACCAAAACACATTGATTATGATGCTTTAAAGTTGGGGACTGTTTAAGGAATTAATGAGCTTAATACTAAAGGACCAGACTGTAATGATGCCGCCGCCGTGTATGACATCATCCTTCTTGTACAGTTTTGTCATTTACTAGGAAATGAAAACATTTGAGTCACAATCGATAAAATTCACCTACATCTAATATCTGGAACACATAATGTACAG